AGCGGAGGCCAGGGCCAGCCAGGAAGCTTGGCTTCCTCTATCACAGGTTGGCTGCCACCAGCTTTGTTGGGTTACTCTGCATATTCGCTCATGATTGGCTGGTGGGCGTAGCGAGTGATGGTCAATTTGCATGTTTCTCTTTTATTAGTGTAAATAATAAACTTGCCTTATTAGACTTGCTTTCTGATTTAGCTAAACTTGTTTCAGCCCAGTGAAGTACCCCAACTTCTCTTTCAGGTAATAAATATCAACATGAAGCAGATTATTACTCTTGATCATGCAGGGGGAAGAAAGGGTAAAATATTTAACTGTAGCAGTGTTTGACTATATTCTGTGCAGTAAAAAACCTGAAGTCACTTTCAAGGTCCACCATTTCTTATTTCTTTTCAGTTTGGTGAAGTGTCTAAACTTTCTAAATCTGTTTTCTGTTTAATGAAAAGAAAATAGGATTCCACTGAGTCTCCTATCTACTTACTCTAGGACTTCTGTGTGGATCAAATGAGATGAGGCATGGGAAAACACTTCACAGACATTTGGTTAAAGTGTGAAATGTTTGTACTGGCTATAAAGCAAGTCGTGTTCCTGGGCTGAAGAAACTCCAAGGAGGCTAGTTGTCGCTAGGAGAGAGGAAGCCAGTTGTTGCTACGTGAGGTCATTACCTAGTGCCCACAGCGACCATTTTTGGGCTGGGTTGTGGGCTGCATTTTTACCCATGGGGTCTTGGCAGCGTTGACTGCGATTTGGTGGGCTGTTGCTCCAGCGTGGTGACAGGACCTGTGTTCCACTTGGTGGGTGACAAGTGTTGCTTTGTGTGCGCCAGGTCTGCGGTGCCATTTCTCTGTGTGTGACACGGCAGGTCCTACATTGAGCGTATGCCTCCTGGTGGTCAGTGCGTGTCATAGTGACTGGTTGGATGGTCGGACACTTAGCCTTTTATATATATATAGATGCTCAGTCACTAATCAGCTGAGAGATGCAAATCAAAATGACAGTGAGGTACCATCTCACACCTGTCAGAATAGCAGTCATCAACAAATCAACAAGTGACAAGTTCTGGCGAGGATGTGGAGAAAAAGGAACCCTCTTGCACTGCTGATGGGAATGCAGACTGGTGCAGCCACTGTGAAAAACAGTATGGAGTTTCCTCAAAAAATTAAAAATGGAGCTCCTATTTAATACAGTAATCCCACTTCTAGAAATACCCAATATATCTCAAGAAAATAGAAACACCAATCAGAAAGCATATAGGCAGCCCTATGTTCATAGCAGCACAATTTACCATAGCTAAGATTTGGAAATAGCCTAAATGCCCATCAGCAGATGAATGGATTAAAAAACTATGGTATATCTATACAATGGAATACTATGCTGCAGTAAAAAAGAAGGAATTTTTTTCTATTTGCAACAGTATGGATGAACTGGAGAGCATTACGCTAAGCAAAATAAGCCAGTTGGAGAAAGATAAATATCACATGATATCACTCATTTGTAGAATATAATGAATAACATAAACTGATGAATCAAAATAGAGCCAGAGAAAATAAAATATTTTAGAATATAATAGAAGAAATCTTGTTATTTGTAGATTTTTAATATTTCCTACAACTTTTGTGATATTATACTATGTTAGTACAGTTTTGGTAATATTATAGTTAAAATCTGTTTTTCTTAGAATAGTAATTTTTATTGCATGTAATATTATATTTAAAATCTTTTTATAATATTAATGTTTATTGCATGTAAAAATAAAATACATAAAGTAAATAAATAAATTAAAAATAAGTTCAGTATTATCCTGATAGCAAAATCATACAAGGACAGTACACTAAAAAAGGCTACAGACTAATATCTCCCATGAACTTAAATGCAAAGATCCTCACCAAAATATTGGTAAACTGAATATAACAATATTTAAGCATTATATACCATAATCAAGTCAAATTTATTGCAGGTTTGCTAAGCTGGTTCAACATATGAAATTGATCAATACAATCCACCATATCAATAAGCTTTGTAAGATCACAACCCTATCAACTTACACAGAAAAGTATTTGAGAAATTCCACATCCATTTATTATAAAACACTAAGGAACATAGAAATTGTATTTAGACTTGATACACCAAAGGTAATGATGAAAGAACATTTTCATGCAGATTGGAAACAAGGCAAGGATGTGTACTCTTATCACTCTTATTCAGCATAGTACTGGAAGTTGGGACGACTGCAATAAAAATAAAAGGTAACTTTTGGGCAAGATGGCCTTTAGGTAAATGCAGTATTCGCCTCATCGCACAAACACATAAAAGATACCACTAAACTACAGAATAACCATCATTCATCACCACCAAACCAACCTTATATGAAACTAGAGGCCTGGTGCACGAAACTTGTGCATGGGTAGGGTTCGTAGGCCTGGTGGGCGATCAGGTCTTATTAGATCCCCCACCTCCTTCTCTCACCATCCATACACCGCCACTGCACAGTTCCTTCACCTCCCTGCCTCCTTCTTCCCTTGCCACCTGCGCACCCTGCCACTAGGCAATTCCCCCCACCTCCTCCTTCCTTCACTCCCTCAGCACCCTGATGATGCCCCCTGGTGGTCAGTGCACATCATAGCAAATGATCAAACTCTCAGTCTCATAGCTGAACTTCCGAAGTGAAACTTTGCATATTAGCCGTGTATGTGTGTGTGTGTGTGTGTGTGTGTGTGTGTGTGTGTGAGATAAAGGATCTTCTTTAAGAATAATATGAATAAAAGATAAAAATATGAATAATAAAATGGCAATAAATATGTATCTATGATCAATTGAATCTAAAAAACAAAATAAATGAATAAGCAGAACAGATAAGCAGACTCATAGATATAGAGAACATTTTGATGGTTGTCAGATGAGAAGGGGGTTGGGAGATGGGTAAAAAGGTGAAGAGGTTAAGAAGTACAAACTGGGTCCTAACTGGTTTGGCTTAGTGGATAAAGTGTCAGCCTGTAGACTGAAAGGTCCCAGGTTTGATTGGGTCAAGGGCATATGCCTCTGTTCTAGGCTCGATCCCCAGTGAGGGACATGAAGGAGGCAACCGATCAATGATTCTCTCTCATCACTGATGTTTCTCTCTCTCTCTCAATCCCTTCCTCTCTGAAATCAATCTATATATATATATATATATATATATATATATATATATATATATATATATATTTTAAAAAGAAGTATAAATTGGTTGTTATGGAATAGTCACGCAGCAGAACAACTAGTCGCTATGACATGCACTGACCACCAGGGGGAATGCCACTCAGCCAGAAGCCCTGAGCTGGACTCACTGCAGGCAAGTGCAGTGGTGGTGGCAGGAGCCTCTCCCATGGAGAGTGGGCCTAAGCTATCAGTCAGACATCCACTGAGGGCTCCTGGACTGCAAGAGGGCACAGGCAGGACTGAGGACCCCGCCCCTGAGTGTACAAATTTCGTGTACTGGGCCTCTAGTTATTTAATAAAAACACAATGACCATGTTGAAGCTGAAATTAAAAATATTACCACTTATAATTGCTCCAATGAAAATGAAATGCTTTCACATATACTTAACAAAACATGTAGAAAATTACAAAAAGTTGAAAGAAATCAGACCTATATAGAAAGACATACTTTGTTCACTGACTGGAAAAATCAACATAGTAAAGATATCTAAATATAAAGAAACTAATATATAAGTTTAATGTGATTTCTAGCATAATCTCAACATAGCTTTTTTAAAAAAATATATTAATATATATTTTATTGAAATTTTTTTTTTTTTTTTTTTTTTTACAGAGAGGAAGAGAGAGGGACAGAGAGTTATAAGCATCAATGAGAGAGACTCATCAATCAGCTGCCTCTTGCACACCCCCTACTGAGGATGTGCCCGCAACCAAGGTACATGCCCCTGACTGGAATCGAACCCGGGACCTTTTAGTCCCCAGGCCGATGCTCTATCCACTGAGCCAAACCAGTTTTGGCTCAACATAGCTTCTTATAGACATAGAGGCCTGGTGCACGAAATTTCATGCGTGGTTAGGGTCCCTAGGCCTGGCCAGAACCTTCTTTCCCAGGTTGGAGCAGACAGCCTTCCTTCCGCCAGGGCCTCCCACTGCTGGTTTGTTTGCCCCCACATGCCCTCCCCTGCCAGCATGATCACCCACAACTACCCTCACCTGCCGGCCATCTTGTGATGACATAAGGGCGTTGCACGAAGGCATTAGGACCACCTAGGCTTTTTATTAGTATAGACTAGAGGCCTGGTGCATGAAATTTGTGCACGGTGGGGGGGGGGGGGGGATCCCCTCAGCCCGGCCTGCACCCTCTCACAATCCATAACCCCTCAGGTAGGTTCCCTAGGCCTGGCCTGAGACCAGGGCTTATCGGGGCTTTCCTTCCTCCGGCTCAGGCAGCTGGCCCCATTCCCACCACTGCAACCCTGCTAGCGGTTCTCTAGAACTACTGCTCTAGAGCCTAAGACCATCAGAATACACAGATATTTACATTACGATTCACTAACAGTAGCAAAATTAGTTATGAAGTAGCAACGAAAATAATTTTATGGTTGGGAGTCACCACAACACCAGGAACTGTATTAAAAGGTCACAGCATTAGAAAGGTTGAGAACCACTGCCTTAGATTGTCAAATTAAAAAACACACATAACAGCCAACATAACAATAGCCATCCAGTGTGAGTGAATCAAACTTAAACCTATTTTTTTTTGTCAGATTGGCAAAAAATATAATAGATATTTTTGGTGTACCGAAGAATTTTAGTAATTAATTAGTTTATGTGTGCCGTGAGATGAAAAAGGTTGAAAATCGCTGCTCTGGGTGATTTGGATATGCCTTTCTTTTCCCACAGATCACCAAGTTGAGAACCAACCAGCTAGTGGAACATAGGGACTCTCTTACTGGAATGCATTTTCCATAAACTGAGGCCATAACAGATTATTCAACTTCTACACAAAGGAAAGGAAGAATTTTTACCTAGAGAGATGACAGTCTCATAGTTTTCCTGCATTACTTCATTGTAGAGGATCATCTGAGTAGGGGCCAGTAATTTCCATTCTTCTTCGGAAAAATGCACAGCCACATCTTCAAATGTCAACAAACTCTAAAGAAGAGAGTGGGTTTTAGTTCAGTATTTGCCAACACAGAAGTGGTACTGTCACTCATTTCTGAATTACATGGTAGTTCAGTCACTGAAATTAAGTGTATAAAATTTAGGGAGGAAAAGTGAGCAGCAGAAAAGAAAGAAAAGAGATCAGTAAACAAGCTTGGGAGGTGTCCAATTCCCACTGTCCCAAGCCTAGCTGTGTAAAGGACATCTGAGGCTAACTCCGCTCAGAATACCTGCTGGGCATTGTGGGTCTTGGGCAGCAGAGAAAATCACAGACAAGGTCACATTCAGGCTGCCTGCAAAATCTGGAATGTACAGCTCACCTGGGATTCAGGCAAGACGAGCTCAGTTGCCATCTTCCAGTTTGGGATGCTTTTCTGCTCAGAAAAAGCTAGAATCTGTTGAGCAGGCACAGCTGTGGGTGGAAAGGAGCCAGAAAATTTCTCTTTTCTGTTTATGAATATCCTGAGCTGATTTGTAAAATATAGACTATCAGGACGCCTTCAGTAAAGATAGTTCACCTTCATGTGTATGAATGTGTGTGCAATGCCAAAAAGTGGCCTTTTCACGGTAAATAAGAAGCAAATATCCACCACTCCATAGAATGGGTTCCCCAGATTTCAAGAGATAAATTATTAAAGGAAATTGGCTATTTTTTCCTATCATAAAATAGTTTGTTCATTGGGCTGGTCAAGAATCAGGGATGTTTGAAAATGAGTGACTCAAGTCTTCCAGTGTATAGTAGGAAATGTGAAATGTTTTAGTCTATTATTATTTTTTCCTGGTGTATAATTCTCTTCCTCTTTTGTCAATGACAGCTCATTTCGGATCTAATTTCTTCTCCAACTTACAGATGACCCCACCAGTCCCTATTCCATTTTCTCTCAAATTTCTAAGGAACAAGGTCCATGACATGAATATCAGGATCCCATGGTTTGGATATTTCTGTACACCACACTGCTCCTCACCTTCACCCACCATTGACCTATTGTAGTCCCATATGAGAGACATCCTAACTGCTAGCATGGCTGGGCACCTGGAAGATTCCCATGATATTCTAGCTGAATGGATTACTCTCATGGCTCCCAGAAGAGAATTATTATGAAGCTCCTCACCTCTTTCATATACAGGCTGGGTTTCTGTGTGAGTTTTCAAGCCCAGCTGTTCTTGTAGTACCTGGTATGCATCCCAACATTCTTTCTGGAACACACCCATTGCTTGGGGCTCTGCTGGCTTCCACTTAAAGCCTGGGACCTCTGCTGTTCCTCCCAAGAGCACTGCCTCCTTTCCCAGGTCATGGACTGTGACCTAGAAATAATCCCCATCCTCATTAGCACAGAACTTACTCGCAGTTTCAGGCTGTGGTAGAGGAACGAACAAGAATAGAGCCCAGATTTCGGGAGTGTGTGACATTAAAGGAAGTATTAAAAAACCGGTAACGGTATTGTGCTCCCCTTTTCTCACAAAGAACTATATACATCACCTGGGAAAATGAGGATAACATCAAAAAAGCAGTGACTGCTGCTAGGCTCCACCCCTCCACATACTAGCACAGCCACGGCTCAGGCTGCTAGCAAACTGGGTGCAGGCTGCCTTCACTGGCTTGTTTCCTTGACTTAGTTCCTTGCCTGATCGGATTTCTATATTTTAGTCTTATTTAAGGCATTCAATAAAAAAGGTTTTTCCTCTTTGTCAGATTTTCTAACCCCCTCATGATTAGGAAAGGATTTCATGGAGAAAGGGGATGCAATGGGGGGGAAAACTGGGGAAAGTTCAGCTCTAACCTCCCTCCTCACGGGATTCAGTTGTAATAAGACACAAATATATCCTGCCCTGTGTTCCTCAAGGTGAGCTCCTGAAGAAAGGGAGTGTGCTGCCATCTCCCCAGAGCATACCTTGGTCCCCCACTCACCAGCAAAGTCAAGGATAGATCACTAAGGAAGGTGAGGGAGGCTCTTTTCCAGGCCTAGAGATGTGTATTCCCACTACAGAGGGCACTAACCCTCAGCATCTTGATTCTTGCCACATCCCTTTGGCATTTTTCTTCTTTCCATGTCCTTGCTTCCCATTTATTCTACTTCTCCTCTGCAGTCTTCCCAGAGTTGTTTGATTTATACTTCTGTTTGCTACCCTTGCTCTCCTTTGATCTTTCTAAGTGCTATCTTAGCCCCCACTCCCCAATTTTCTCCCTTTTCCCCATTTGTTCTTGCCTTTTAGTTCTGTTTCTAGGAAATCAAGTCCTATCTCCTTGGCCATGCCAGATTAGGCTCACCACACTCAATTTGCATTGGCCCTAAATAGGGAAAAATGCACTTATTTTTGCTAAGGCCAGGAAAGATTGCCAGGAGCTCTGAAACTTATAGACCAGTGTTTCCCAAAGTGTGGTACGCATACCCCCAGGGGTATGGGAAGAGTTTGGTGGGGGTACGCGTTGCACCGGAGTTTGGTGGGGATATGCACTGCACCGTGCTTAGCTGCGCCTAATTCTACATTCTCGTGAGTACGAGGGGTACTCAGCGTTACGAAAATTATAGAAGGGGTACACATACGTCAAAAGTTTGGGAAACACTGCGTGTAGACTATTGCTGCATACATGTGATTTCAGATCTCACTTAATTATCCCAAAGGAACAACGGAAGAGCGACCCAACCAAAATCATTCCCCCATTAACCTCCCCATCCATAAACATACCCACCCTTATCCTATTTCATTGTATGTGTGAGGAATCTTTTTTCTCACCTCATTACTTATTCCACCAGGTTCTCTCTGAAAGTGCTCTACTAGGGCCACAACCTCTTTGATGCTCTGGGGACGATACCTCTGTACCCAGTTCTGAATATCCCTGGGCAGAATGTTTAGGAACTGCTCTAGCACCAGCAGTTCCAAGATCTGTTCTTTTGAGAGGATTTCTGGCTTGAGCCACTGATGGCATAATTCCTGAAGTTGGTGGACAGCCTCAAGGGGTCCAGGTGCTTCCTGGTAACAGAAACTCCGGAACTGCTGGCGAGCACTCTCAAGACCAAGACTGTCCATGTGTGGGCTGAATTTCTTACTCTGACCAGAGCTCTCTTTCACAGACTCCTTAGTCTCCCACGAAGACTCCACGTGTGCGTACGAACAAGCATTCATCTTCAGATGTCTCATCATAATTTGCTCTTGGAACAGTTTTTCTCCTATTTGTGATATTCTCCTGGTGCCACCTTTGACAACTGAGGCCTTGTCAGGTTTGGTTACAAAATCAATGAATGGATCTTCTCCCCAAGGGCACTGAGGGAAGAGAGGAAAAAAGTGAAAAGTCAAAATAAAAGCCACATGATATATATTTACTTGCTCTTTAAAATTATCAGAGAAAAATGAACAGAAAAGTTTTGTCCTGCTTCCCCCTTAAAATCAACTGCCAAGAATTAGGACGCTCAAGAGGGCAGATTACTTCAAAGTAAATGTTTCTCTCCTTTAGTGTTACTCAACTTTGAAACAAAGAACAGCTCAGAGGATACAGATGTCAACTGAAAACTGTTTGCTCAAAGGCTGAGGAACAAATGGTAGGTGGAAAAAATAGCACCCATTTGCTAAAAAGGAGCTTTAAGACTATTTAATACTTAATCTGTGTGCTTCCTATCCCATCTTCACAAATAGGGCATATTTGAGTTTCTCTAAATTTTAACAGATCATTCCAATCTTTTGTCTTTAGTCAGGGGGGAAATAACTTCTATGCCCCTTCATTCCCTTAAGAAGACTGAAACCTTTACTTCATGGAACATTTGATAGTCTTCTTTCCATTACATTAACAATGGCAGGAGAACTGATACAGGAAGATCAGAAAAAGAAGTATTCAGGAAAAAAAGTAACCTTATTCCTCTCAGCAAATATCCCCCAACTAAGCAACCAGATGTCCACAACATTTTTTGTTGGTACTTTTGGGGGAAATTTATAAAGGCCTCTGTGCAAATGTGTACCTATGCATTCAATTTCTTGTTTACTTACTTCCATTTGTTTATAAGCTATCTAAATAGCAGATTTTTTAAAAAAAGGAAAGAAATGGTGATGGTTGAATTTCTTTTTAAAAAAAAAAATATATTTTATTGATTTTTTACAGAGAGAAAGGGAGAGAGATAGAGAGCTAGAAACGTCAATGAGAGGGAAACATCGACCAGCTGCCTCTTGCACATCCCCTGCCCACAACCAACGTACATGCCCCTGACCGGAATTGAACCTGGGACCTTTCAGTCCGCAGACCGATGCTCTACCACTGAGCCAAACCGGTTTCAGCGGTTGAATTTCTTGAGACAGGAAGGGTGTAGTAAAGGTACTCCTTCTCCTGATTTTACATTTCTTCAGGGTCATTACAGATTTTTAAGCAAGGCTGAGGATAGCTGGAAAGTCTGATTTTCCCTGAGGTGATCCAGCAAAGAGAGCAACACATTTATTTCGAGGATACCCCTGGTATTCAAAGAAATGGTTGGTTCTTTGCTGCTTATACAGGCTGAGGATACACAGGGACATCTCCTATACATTTAGCTTGTGGATTTTTTGGTTTTGTTTTTACATTTATGTATGTATTTATTTATTTATTTTCGTATTAAATTTTATTGGGGTGACATTAGTCAACATGAACAAATAGATTTCATGTGTCAATTACTAAGTTACAAAATCTGTATATAGGACCATGTGTCCACCACCCAAAGTCAAATCTCCTGTCACCTCATATTAGGACCCCCTTCTTCCATCCTTCCTCCCTCTGGCAACCTCCTATATTTTTTAGCAGCAGAAGCTGTAATTACCTTTCCTCCAGGGATATGACCATAAGCCAGCAGAAACTGGAAAACGTCCCTGGGTGCAGTGGTAGTCATCACTGCCCCATCCCCCACCACTAATTCTCTACACCTATGTCAACCACAAGGGTGACAATAAGCCCTGTGCACGTGCTCAGCCTCGGAGGGTTCTTCAGCAGCACTCCTGGATGATATTTGCACACAGAGTACCAAAAGATCACTTCCGGAAGTTAGATGTGGAAATAGGAGCCTGAATACCGGCCTCACAGAGAAAAGGTCGTGCCTGAACTCAGGCTGACGGCCGCCAGGCAAAGACGCCACCACGAAGTGGGACTGCTACATCCCCCATCCCCCACCCCCACCCCCCAACCCCCACCCCCATCCCCTCATCACCATGCAGGCTGCAACTGGCACCTGCGGCGCTTATCTCTCGAGAGCTGTCTATACCAAATACAAAGGGGAAATCGGGCTTCTGGATTACCTTCACGCGGCTCTGGCCTCCGGGGACGCCACTTCCCTCTTCCTCACTGGACTCTGGAGTCGCCACGCCTCCGGGTCCTCTGGGAAGAAGCTCTCCGCGCCTGCGCTGCTGCGGAGCGGCGTCGGGAGCCTGTGACGCCTGAGAGAGGAGCCCAAGACTCAGAAGCGCAGGGAACTTGGAAGATCAGTCTCCCATCCGTTCCCTCTATCTCCCCGAGCTTGTACCCCGACTCGCCATTTTAAGGTCGCGGGATGCGGACCGGGCCCAAACCGGAAAAGGAAGAGTCGTTTCCGGTGGCTTTGTGACAACCACGCCCAGCCATCTGTCTTCCTTCCTCCACCTGTGCAGTCTCAGCCCAGCCTGCTAGGAACAATCCCTGAGGTCCTTTCCAACCTCCAACCTAGAAGGATTGCCTTTCTTATCCCATTCAGCCCCTGATGCAAAAAAAAAGTTAATCCCATTGAGTCTCCAGACCCCACAATCCTCTCTCTCTCTCTCTCTCTCTCTCTCTCTCTCTCTCTCTCTCTCTCTCTCTCTCTCTCTCTCTCTCTCTCTCTCCCTCCCTCCCCATCCATGGATATATTTTCATTTTTTAGTGCATTTTATTTTTTAATTTTATTTATTGTTTAAAGTATTACATGTAGTAGTACATATATTTCCTTTTCCCCCATTGACCTTCCCCCAGCCCCCATATTTTGAATCTTTGTTTTTAAGTTAAATCTTTATTGTTCAAAGTATTACATATGCCCCCCCCCCCCCCCATTAATCCCTTTTAGCCTGCAATGCCCTCCCCAGGCCTCCACCACCCAATTGTCCGTGCCCATGGGTTATGCATATATGAATACAAGTTCTTTGGTTGATCTCTTCCCACCCCAACCCACCCCCCTGCCTTCCTTCTGAGATTCAGCTGTTCCATGGTTTTATGTCTCTGGATCTATTTTGTTCATCAGTTTGTTTTGTTCATTAGATTCCACATATGAGTGAGATCATGTGATGTTTATATTTCTCTGACTGGTTTATTTCGCTTAACATAATAATCTCCAGGTCCCTCCATGCTGTCTCAAAGGGTAGGCAATCCTTCTTTTTTACAGCACCATAGTATTCCGTCATATAAATGCACCATAGCTTTCTTATCCACTCATCTACTAATGGGCACTTGGGCTGTTTCCAGATCTTAGCTGCTGTAAATTGTGCTGCTATGAACATAGGGGTACACACATTCTTTCTGATTGGTGTTTTGGGTTTCTTAGGATATATTCCTAGAAGTGGGACTACTGGGTCAAATGGGAATTCTATATTTAATTTTGTGAAGAAACTCCATAGTGTTTTTCCATAATGGCTGCACTAGTCCATTGATGATAGAAAGAATGGAAGGGAAGGTGGGGGGAGCAGGAGGGAGGGAGAGAGAGACATCAATTCGTTGCCTCCCAGATGCAGCCCTCATCTGGGCCTGGATCAACTTGTAACCCAGGTACATGCCCTTTCCCAGGAATGAACCTGAGACCTAGTGCACAGACCAACACTCTAACTACTGAGCCACACTGGCCAGGGCTCAATCTCTCCCTGACTTCAGTGAAGTGTTGCTAGTCCAGATTATTCTTATATCACTTTCCAGCTGCTGGCTTCCCTTTTTATAGGGAACCTCCCCGGTGAGGGCCACAGCCCCAAAAGTTGTCACTAGGCTTGTCCAGAGCCTCCTTTAGTAAGAGGCAGTTTGGTCCTGGTCAGGCTCCTGCTTCGATTAGGAACCACAGTCCTTTATGGTGTTTTTGTTGTTGTTGTTTTTGTTTCTTTGTTTTTTGTCCTTTATTTTTTTTAAATTTTCTGGTGCACTGCCATGTTCTTCTCAACTATTATTACTTTATTATGGTTAGGTAGGTTTGAACCTCATAATATAAGTTCCATATAAGTCAGGCCCTGCACTAGGATTTGATCTTAAAGTATAGAGAGCAAGACAAACTTCCGAGCCAGTTTTTACAGCAGTGTGGCGATCTTGATGCCAGGTCAGGATGGGCCTTAGACTCCATGTCTAGAGGGACCAGAAGGATAAAATTTGATCCCACCCATCAAGTCTTGCTACAGCCCTCCGTGTCCCCTACAGCCAGCCAGAGGCAAAGGAATACCTTTCACTCATCTATATAACATCTCTTTCACCCATTTGTCATATAGCAGACGGCTTTCTCCTTAGTGACCTGACATGAGACTTTTTACTGTAGCTTTGTTCAGAACAACAGCAACATTTCTTGGGTGCCTTAAGGTTATTTGAAGATATGATTACTCTTGAAGAATGACATTCTTAAAAATTACACATTAAGAATGAAAAAATTTAAAGAGCCAATCAACCACGCTCCTTAGACACAGTTTGACATGTTATTTTATAGAATAATTGTGTGTTTGGTGTCATTTTTCCCCCCCAGTAAATGTGAGTCTTGGTAATTTTATTTTCTATTTTTTAAAAAGTATGATTGCCCTGGCTGGTGTTACTCACAGAAGGTTTGATTCCAGGTCAAGGGGATAGGACTGTGTTGCAGGTTTGATCCGCCACATCAGTATGGGCATGTGCAGAGGCAACCAATCAATGTGTATTTCTCACACCAATTTTACTCTTCCTCTCTCAGTCTCTCTCTTTCAATCTCTCTCTCTCTCTCTCTCTCTCTCTCTCTCTCTCTCTCTCTCTCTCTCTCCCTCTCTCTCTCTCTCTCTCTCTCTCTCTCTCTCTCTCACACACACACACACACACACACACACACACCTCCGTTTCACTCTCCCTAAAATCAATGGGAAAAATAACCTCAGGTGAGGGTTGACAAAAAGTTATATTATGTTTGGAACACTGAACACGATCTACCCTCCTAAAAATTTAAATGCAGAGAGCAGTATTGTTCAGATAGGCCCAGTGTGTAGAGCAGATCTCCAGAACTGATTCCACTTGCATAATTGAAAGCTTAATCCCACAGAGTAACAACTCCCCATTTACGCCTCCCTTAGATACCACCATTCTACCTTGATTCTAAAGTGTGACTATGACAACTCTTTAACAACTATATATACTTTTTAAACAACTTTCCTATACACCATACAGCAGTGTTAACTATGGCCATCATGTTGTACATTACCTCCCTAGTACTTATTTATCTTAAAACTGGACGTTTGTACCTTCCTCCAATATTAATTTATACATGTCAGTTTGTTAGTGGACTTACTACCTTGATGAAGAATTTTCTGCTTAACTTTTAGTCTTGTCTTCCTAACCCGTGACTCTCCTGAAGCCTGAGACCCTGCCATCCTCAGCACCTATGATGCTACCTAGAACATAATGGCCACCCAAAGACTATAAAAGGAATGAATCACTGTGGGCCAGAGACAGTCTACAAGGGAGCAAACAGGGTGACAGGATTGAAATGTCCATGAGTTTAAATGGGTGACCATGGGCTTATAGGCTAAGAGGGCCCTCGTTCCTTTTACCTGAGCTATTCCTCTAGTCTCCCAACTCCAGATGCTCAGGACACAGAGCTGGCTGTCACACATCTCCCTGCCTCATATATAGGCAGGCATCTGAGACTGTGGATTGAGCCCCTTATTTCCTCCCGAATTCTTATCCTCTGTTTCATCTGCACACCACTGCCCTTAGCTCAGCCCACCATCTCATCTGCAGTAGCCTTCTCACTAATCTTCCCGTATCCCATCTTGTCTATCCTAATCCCCACCCAGGAGCCAGAGTAAGCTTTCTAAAATGCCTAACCAGTACTTCTCAACTGGAGTCTAGGATTTTTTTGGAGTGCCGGATGAGGTCCCAACTCCATCAGGTAGATTACTAGACCCTCCATCACCTGGCCTCTGCCTGGCACTCTAGCTTTCCCTCTAGCCAGTCTGTGCTCTTCTCATCAGGTCTTTGTAGGAGACATCCCTTCACCTGGGATGCTGTCCATAACACACATGCTCAAATCCATGTATAGGCTGGTAAAACCACCCTCTTAGCATCTCAATTTTTGTAAGACTCAGAGGCTGAGGACAAAATCTGAAGTGGAAAGGACCTTCCATTATCAAGTTAATTTGAACCTTACATCATTTGTAAAAGAAACCAACTCCAGGTAAAATGCGATCTCAATGTGTAAGGTAAAAAAAAAAAAAAAAAAAAAAAAAAAAAAAAAAAAAAAACTTTAAAAATGAAAATGTAGAAATAGGTTCATGATCTTGGGGTACACAGAACGTTTCTTCACCAGAATTCAAACAGCACTAATAAAGGGGGGAGTAATGAGTTGAACTGTGTAACACTTGGGCTATTATCTTCATCAAGGGACACCAGTAAGTGAGTGAAACCAGAAGCCAAGGAGTGGGAAGAGATATTTGTGGTACATTTCATCAGTATCTGGAGAAGTTGAACAGCTACCAGTATAAACCAATGGCACAACCATTCCTAAAACTAGAGTCCTAGGGAGTACCTACAAATGGAACCCTTAGCCTCCACAGTCATCAGACACCAGTCTTCAAGATCTAAATAAACTTTAAAGCAGACATAGAATGGACCAAATTTATTAATAACTTTGCATTGTAAGCAAAAATTCACAGGAAATTATCAACAATGTTTCAACTCTTGGGGCAAAAAGGAAATAAAATGAAAAGTGTAATAACAAATAATTATAAAATCACAAACAGAACATTGAACTCGTTTTGTGGCATGTGATCCAAGCTAGGCTTAAAGTTTGTAGCATTCAATACTTTCATCATTCCAGAGAGCAAAGAAAGAAAACACGGAATTTACAGGAAGTTCGTTCGGAGTAGGGTCTCCACCCTTCTATAAGCCGCTCAATATTCCTAGTACTTGTGTGGTGGGTACTGTTCTCTGCCCTTCCCAGAACTTTATGATTTGGACATCTTCCCTTGTCCCTATCCTTTGGAAGTGCTCCACATTTCAGAAATGGGCTGTGTTCAAGGCTCAAATGATGCATAAACATAGCAGTGGGGGCACAGGGGATTCTGACATGTAGTGTGAGTGGGAGTTAAGGCAAGTGCTTGTAGGCCCTGTCAGGAAAGCTTCCACATGGTGCTCCAACTACTAGTCAATGGCAATCAAACAGGAACAGCATAGCCATTTCCATGTGACTGAAATATTGCACAGATACAGGTCAATTGGGCACTTCCCCATCTACTGGAATGCTGACCCAAAACGAAAAGGAATGCCAGCATTGATATGCTCCTCACTGAAACTGATATGGTGGTTGGCTGGGCACAAAGACATTGTCATCATAAAGATTAAACAAAACTTGCCTAGACAGAAAACAGTCATGTCT